ATCAGCTGGCTGCACTAATGCACTAATGCACTAATGACGTGACTGTGGAAGGTTCACCTCAGGAGGATGAACACCAACTGATCAATGTTGTTTACATTCATTTATAAATATTAAAGAGGCCAGGTCAAATCAAATGTCACTCAGCTTCGGAGGCAAGGAGGCTCTGGAGCTCACAGTCAGGTGGGATTTATTCCTGCATGCATGTGCTCTCTGATACAGATTTGTTTTGATGGGGGTGCCAGGGGCTGAGTAACTAAAGGTGTATCATAGCAGTCATGCCACTTCTCTGCTGCAGTGCTGAGCTGGAAGTAGCAGTTGGCAGCTAGCTACTGTATATAACTCTGGAGGTGCAAAGACTGTATGAGAGGTGTGACACGAGCGTCAGCCTACGCCTCAACAATGGAGCTGTTTTCACTGCTGGTATCCGTCATGTTTACGATGTGCTCCTCCCAATCCAACTTTTTGGTTGTGGTTCTCAATATCCAAGTAAATAAAAAAGAAATTATTCCAAGCCCTCTGCCAAGCGAACAGAATGATAGCTTTAATTCTACAATGTGTACTAAATTACAATAAGAAAATAAGTCAATTTGAATGAAAAAAAGGCATAAAAAAACTACGAATCGACTAACAAAATCTTAGTCAAATAGGATCAAGTTTGAGGGCAAGCACTAACAAAATCCTTCAAAGCTTAGACATGTTCCCAAGAGAGGCTACATTACAATGTGTGGAGTAATTTAGGCGCTGAGTAAAAGGTTTAGTAAGGCTCCCAATACCTTCCAGGCTCCTCCATGAGCATGTCAAAGAGTGTTAGCCCTGAGGAAAGCAAAGGGACTCCCATGACAGGACAATCCCAACCAGGGGCTCCTCACCTGACAGCAGAGGGCAAACCTAACCACGCATGTTGAAAAGGACTCAGCATCACGTTAGATTTATACAGAGAGCCACCCGTTTGAAGAAGACCGGACAAAAACACGTAATCTGATGTGACTGTTACCATGACACTCTCCATATATTAACATCTGCTTTTTGATATTTAAGAAAACAAAACATTGAAGAAAGACTAATTAACAATTTGTTTTAACATCTTTATAGAATCAAAGTAAATGTTCATAAAATAACCAATTAAAATGACCAACTATCTACAATTTAACCATCAAATAATCAAATTAGGCTTTGGGATCATTTACAAAGCTTTGAACTAGAACCTTGTTCAGAATTGACAAGCTGCCTTATAGCAGTTCAAAAACGTTATCCTGCTTCTAGTTGGAGGGGAAGCAATGTCATCTGTTTATCGCAATGTATCGCAACTGTAATAATACCATCTAATCTTTAAAAAAAAGTTCTAACAAAGCATCCAGAAATGTATCTTTATAAGAAGTTCACCAAATCAACTGAAAGTGTACTGATATGTCAAGTCAAAGCTGCCAAATATAATCAGTTATTAGGAGTTTAAAGTAACAACGTAACGGATCCTGTGGTTACAAAGTGTAATCCTAAAGTATAATACGCCCCACACCTTTTCCAATGTGGTCTCCAGAAACAATTAATATAAAGCAGCTCTCTGTCATTTAATCATTACTTCATTAATACGCAAGACATAAAGTAACATTGAAGCAGCATTGACATTCAGTTGCCACCCGTGAGACTCAACACAAAACAAAGCTAAAGCAGCAGATCTCTCACTGCAGTGACACCCAGTGAGCGACGTGATTGGATCTCAGGTCAGGACGGGGGTGCGATAGAGAGTGAGATGGATTGACTTTCACAAATATGAGCTGATGATGGACAGGATCACGACCCGGATCACCGCTGTCTACTATTGATCCACACGGCTGTTCACAGGAAGAATTATCCTCCAGTAAACATACTTCACACATGCATGCCAGTAGGGTGTCTTTGAACACACTGACAGCACTGGTTCCTTCTGTGATCCCTGTATGTAACACAGACACTATGGGTCCATGCATGCATATAGCTCTGTTTATATTCAGCTTGATCATTTCCACAGACAAGGAAGGGAGATTAGACAAACACTGACTTGTTAATGAAGAAATTGATTTAAAAAATGGAGCAACAGGTAATTAGAGCAATTAAAAAAGCATATCTAGTGTTAACATAACATTTATTTAAGCCACACCTGGCTATTGCAGGTACCCCTCTCATATATGATAGTATATCATCATACCACATTTGTCACCACCAGCAAGAAGTGTTAGAATATCTCATTGTGTCAGAGCTAGAGAAGATTCTGAGTATCTCATATCCTCTTAAAAAACAGAAACAAGCCTCTTATGTACGCAGAGGGTACGCTAAGCCCCCTGTGCTAGCCTAAACAAGACTGGGGACGCTGCCTCTGTTGAGGACGTGTGTGGGAAATGATGCAGAAAATGGCCTCTGTGATTTGTGGCTGCATTTCAACTGTCTCGTAGGTCCTCTTATACTCATTAATCCCAAGCCTGGGTCGGCATGATATTCAAGTTGCTTGTCGAGGAGTAAGAGAATCATAGCAGATTGATTATGTTTTATTTTAACTGGACATATGGCACCCCGTATGATAAGGATGGGAAACTTCAAATAAGATAGCTTTTTAATAGAATGAAATATCATGTCAGTCATATGAAGATATGATATGAACAGTAGTTTTGGTTTTTAAAAACCTTTCAAACAATAAGAGTTAGTAAATAGTGGATGAGTGCAATGAACATATCAGTGTCAGTATTTTTCCATATTTATTCTTGACCGTAACAAGGTGTAAGAAAAGTTTAATGGTTGGACGAGCACCATTTTACAGGCAGCTGCAACAATAACAGAGCGGCTTAGAGGTGCCTGAGCCAGCTGTGCATGGGCACAAACACTGTCTTGTTATACTAGAAGAGACGTAGTGACTCGTAAATTAATGATTAGCTAAAGGGAAAAACTGTCTGATCACAAGAGAATGGACACTTGTGGCATGACATCAGATACAAATGAAATAACAAGTATAAAATAAGGCACCCATCTGAAAACAAGTCATGATTTGTCTAGAACGGAGTGATATTGTTTTCAAAGATGAAGCATGTGATATTCTTCTTTGAAGCTGTAAGGATAACTCCATCAACAGAAAGACAAACAGTCTCTAGTTGTGTAATGTGAGGTTTGATGATTTTGTGCTGTTAAGTATCAACATCTTTGGTTGTTGGACTGTTGGTCAGACAAAACAAGACAAGAGAGATCACTTTGTGCCCTCTGTAACAGTGGAAGATTATTTGATTTGCCCATGACACCAGTGAAAAGTATTGACTGTGTAGCCAAAGTATGATTTAGTTGATTCCTCTGTGACACAGGCCAGCTATTTTAAGAAATAACTGAGCCTTTTATTAAATGAAAATAAACATTTGGGACAATTTGAGACATTTACATTACATTACGTTTTCAGCAGATGCAAATAGGCGTGGAAAGAGTTAGGAAATTGCAAATTGTGCATTTTGGAATTTTAATGGAATTTGTATACAACTATTCTTTAAATGTGTGGTAACTTTCTAACATCAGTCATAGATAGATGGATAGATAGATAAAAAGATCATTATCAAAAATGAGGCAGAAATATATATGCTGTGAATCAGTAAACAAAACGTTCCTCACTGTCCCAGAAAGGCACAGAGACATTCATAAGTTTTCTAACAACAGAGGATTTCTACCTGCTGTGGGATCATGGGTAATGAATACAGGATTCACTGTCACAGATCTAAGAGCTACACACTCATACATACTGGATAAAAACACATATTTGACTACACAATATACAGTAAAATATTCTGCAACCTGCCTCACATGTGATCACTGGGAAACCATCTGTCTGCAGTGACAGTTACATGAAGGCTGAAAACTGCAGGTTTGCTTTCATAAATCAGTGTGACTGCACATACTGTAGTTGTACACTGCAGTACAGAACAGTTTAATTTATGGTAGTGAAATCTAATCCCACTGAGCAAACAAAATCCCACCAACACATATTTATTTTCTCCTTCTAATAGGTGTTCCTCCTCTTTTCAGCATGACTGCTCCAACTTTGGTCACATTGGATTTCTGCAAACAGAGCAGCGTATAGGCCACGGCCCACTGACTCCGAGTCAGATTTCTCATGCACTGTAGTCACATGACAGTTTCCCAAAACTCCAGCAGCCCTGAATGTTTGTCACCTCAGCAGAGTTCTGCTCAGGAGAGTTTAAGGCTCCCATGGGAATATTATTATTGGAGTGTGAATATTAAAGTCATGACTTTATTAGACTCCTTCCTCTTAAAGGGTGCCCAGAGGAATCTTAGAAACCTAACATTATCACTACAGTATACTAATAGGACTGCAGGAAGATAGCCTCACATGTAGTATGCTAAATTAATGGGAATAATGGTGCATTCATGGACTACACTATAACAAACAGGTAACAGCTTTGTTTGCAGCATATATAACTTGTAGTAGAGCTAATTTGAATGTCTACATACAGCCATTGCAGGTACAATCCCCACACATGCAGGCCATGCAGGCCGGTCAAAGTCACCTGTCTGTTCAGCCTGTCTATCGACCGTGACAGTAAACATTGACACATTTAGCGCTAAAACACACTGATCCTCATATCTGCACTGCACATGTATCAATCCCGAGCAGCACATCATGTGGAAGTGGGTGTGGACGCGCGGCATCACAAAATGTCATAATGTAGCAATGAGCTCCACCGTAATGACTTAAATGCACTCACAGGCCTTGAGTTAGGTTAACGCACACCGAAGCTGATGGCAGCAGCTGTGCCAAAGGGCGACAGGCTGGCATGTACCCGGTTTCCTCCTGTTTTCACAGCAGCACTGGCTCGTCGCTGGACTCGCTGCATAAATGTGTTGCACAGGAGCAGCGTCATCAATGAAGCGATAATTGAAAACATACACACACAAAGACACGCGCGCACCGAAACAATTGCGATGGGAAGAGGAGGTTTTTAAGAAAGCCAAGAAATGTGCGTCTCACTCACCTCGCAATCTTCTCCCCATTTTTTTTCCGCTTCAACCAAGGAACCGCTCCAGCCTTCACTGACGTCACGCAGCTCCTCTCTCTGCAGCAGAGAGCAGCAGGCCTGCAGAGGACGAGCAGGGAGGAGAGGGAGGGAGGAGAGAGGATGGAGGAGAAAGAGAGAGAGCTGCTTAAACAGATGCATTAACATGAATCATAAAACATGCATCCCTCCCATTCACTGTTGAAGGAGGATACTGTACCTGTAAGGGTGTGAGAGATGGATGACAGACAGACAGACAGACAGACAGACAGACAGACAGACAGACAGACAGACAGACAGACAGACAGACAGACAGACAGACAGACAGACAGACAGACAGACAGACAGACAGACAGACAGTATATGTATTGCATCAGTGCATCCATGCATGCTGTTAAAACAATTTGCTTCTGCCAGCTGCTGCTTTGTGGTTCAATCAGTAAGGTTCGGTTGTGAAACCTCCTTCACGTGTCATAGCCTTTCCTGTTTAGCATCCTGTCAATCATCTAAACAATATGTGTTTCTCAGCGAGAGAAGGTATGCAATCCATGGACCCCCACAGTGGGTCATGGTGGTCCGCGACAAAATGAAAGGTGGTAAAATGTCAGTCTTGTATTTTGCAAAATGAAACAGACATGTATTGACTAATTGATCAATTACTAGACATTAGCCATAGGCTTCTGTTCATATCAGACAAAGTATAGTAAGGATGAAACACCAAAACCCCAGTGTAGTGAAGTGATCATGGGTATGCTTGATGTTTTATGGCTGATGAAATAACTTTTAATTTGTGGGAAGATTCATTTGGTCATATTGTTTTTCAAAAGTTACAAGGTCTTGCTTTAACATGAGCCCCTGTATAAATACAAGGTATTTTGATTGAACAGTCTCGTGATAAATAGTACATTATTGCGTGCTCAGCGGTTTTTAATCTGCAACAGATTTCTTTGGGACTCAGCAACTCTAAAAAACTAAATCTAATTGGCGTTCCCTTAAAGGGTTATAGTAATGTGACCAGCAATGCTTTACAGTGTATTTAGTTTAAATCCCATGTTATATTAATCCTAAGTGAAATAAAATTATGTTTCATTAAATAAACACAAATGAACTGGGGTTGGGCAGTATTACACTTTTTGGCTTGATTTGTGGGTCGACAACAGGAGTACACTTTTAACCTCGACCCCCTAAACAGTGAAATGCAGACATGTTTTATATTATTCTTAAGTGAATATCTTTGGGTGTTGGTGTGTTGGTTGCTAGGCTACAGGAAAATACCATTTATTAGACTAATGATCAGGTGAGTCGACAATGAGAATAATCATTAGCTACATGTTATTGTCACAGAGGTCATGCCCTCAGTATTGTGTAATGAAATCTGGTGATTTTAAAGATCTGAAGAAGTATTTGCATCCTGGATTCAATCAATTAAACACAACAAGGTTTACAAATCTGAATCAGGTTGTTTTCTTTCTTTGTAAATAAAGTGTAAACACTTAGATGGAAAAGCTTAACTAGATCATCATTAATTGAGATACAATGAGGTGATATGATTCTAAACAGTTTAATTATGTAAAACAAATATGGAAAATAAAATGTTGTGTCGTCCGTCTAATATTAACAGGATATAATGGTTAGCATTGGAGACTTTGGACACTTGACTTTAGTATTTCTAAAATCCTGGTCATGGCCCTGGTGTTAAATTGGATGAATTGATGTGCCTAAAATGGGCTGGAAATGATCAATCAATACAGTCACTCTTCAACTATACACGTGTTGTAGTCAGAGAAACCTCAAAGCCCCCCTCTGATATGGTATCAGCTGCATGCCGTTTATTTCTTTGTTAGTCCTTGACATGCGAACACGCTGCACACAATGTGTAACCATGGTGTTCGTGTCAGGGTCATAACTCTTCCTAATCATATATTAAGTTGTTATGTGGTGACAGAAAAGAGAAATCAATAGAAACAACAAATCTGCTCCCACTGCTTCATTTTGCTTTGGCCTCATGCGCCACAGCCCGAGGGATGTTTTCTGTAATTAAAATAGTTTCTGGTTCATTTTAAATGCTTTCTTTTTTCCCAGCAGCTTTTATTTGCTTTGTGTCATCCACTCTAAAGGATTTCACTTTGAATCTAAATCATTGCTGCTGCTACTACTGTATGATGACCCAGGTGTCAATTAATTAATGCTATTTAGGATTAAGCTTGTAAAGCAACCAACCTTATACCGATCAAAACCTAATATATGGTCTGTTGTGTGCCCGTATGAAAACCATTTCAATGATTTCAATAGGTGTGAACCAACCAATAATGCATTTATATGATGTAACAGGCTCAGCATGTCTCTTTGGTATGATTGGTCCTGTTATTTAATCATTTCAGCTCACATGAGATGTTCATTTGTCCACTCTGGTGACTTCATACAATATGTGGAAGAACATATCTTATGGAGTTTGGCCTTAACTTCAAGTTTTTAAGGATGCATTCATTTCTAAATGGCTTTATAACAAGGTGAAAGACAGTAAAACGTATTTATTATCAGTAATGTTTACAGCTTTAACAAGATGAAGCTGCAGAGTGCATGAACAGCGTGTGTGTGTGTGTGTGTGTGTGTGTGTGTGTGTGTGTGTGTGTGTGTGTGTGTGTGTGTGTGTGCGTGTGTGTGTGTGTGTGTGTGTGGTGTGTGTGTGTGTGTGTGTGTGTGGTGTGTGTGTGTGTGTGTGTGTGTGTGTGTGTGGTAGAGAGAGAGAGAGAGAGAGAGAGAGAGAGAGAGAGAGAGAGAGAGAGAGAGAGAGAGAGAGAGAGAGAGAGAGAGAGAGAGAGAGAGAGAGAGAGAGAGAGAGCGAGCAGGATCCCATTTAGGAGCTCAAGCACCACTTACTGGTCAAAGGAGAGAAGTACACCATGTACAGACTGGACAGATTGAACACAATGTCATTGTACTTATCATGATGTGTCAAATGAAATATATGAGTTAACACTTCCCACATTGTCTCCATAATGTTCTTTGTATACAGCATGTGACTAATTGAAATTGTATGCGGTGGAGTACATGTCGTACATTTTACTGTGCAACACACATTTCCCTTTAATTAGATACATCAGATTTGTTATGGTGTCAGTGCTGGCTTCAAACAATCTTAGTTAGGAAACACTTTATGTATAGATTCCCTATGCAAACTGACATACATTTTGCTTTAAGAGGCACACAAATCATAATGTGGAACACATTCAAAGCTATCATCAGTCATGTCAGAAATTAGAACCAGTAAAGAAACTATTTGCATCATTACCTCAATAACACATCACAGAATCCGGGTTTTCAACATTAAGTGACACAATAACAATGAAGTAAAGGTTGTCATCTGTAAAAATGAACAGAACAACCTGTTACATTGTGATGTTCTTCATTAGGATGTGAAATTAGCTGAATGTGTTCAATAACTCTTTCTTCTTATTCCACAATGTCTAAAATGTATGAACCCTGTCTTAATTTTGTAATTGCAATTTAAAAAGTCTAAACGCTTTTGTCTTCAGTTCACAGAACATTAAGGTGTCAAAAGGCCCATAATTCATCACACTCACCTGACAAATGATTCATGCCAAATGTGAACATTTTCCTCTCTAATTCTCTGAAGTAAAACTTGCAGGAGATCAAAGATGCAGAGTGTTCTTTACGGCCAGTGAGTATTGGCTTTAAAGCTTTTCTAAATATGGTAAATGGTATTATTGTCATGACGTTGGCAGCACGCTGATGTTATAAAGAGGTTTCTGCTCTAAAATTATGCTTTTTAAATGTCAATGTATGCACAGAAAACACACACATACACGGACCTGATGTTATTTTGTGGTTGCTGCACAATTAAAACCTGGCATTTAAAAAAATCCTTAGTAGCATTTGACACAAATAAATATTAAAAGCTAAATATATGTATTTCTGTGCAACGCATTGACATATTTCTTCTGAACTTATGTCAGGTTATAAGGGGAGTAGTTGTTAATACCTTATTAACCCTTATTTTCATGCAAGCTCATTACTGCACATAATAATAATTGTAACATAATTTCATCAAGAATGATTTGGCATGCAAGGTGTGTTAAACAGTGTTTGTTTTTTACCACACCTGCTGTTATTAAAACAATTTCCGATTACAGCAATCAGATGTGCTTTTTAATCATTTCTGAGACGCCAGGGAGGATTTATTCTTCTTTATGTCTGGCTTAACTCAATCACTGTATAGCAACGGGTCCGTTAAACAACACAGAGTCAGACCCACGCAATCTAAAGAGATGTGGAGTGATTCCATGACTAAATAAAGATTAGCTGATGATTATGGTTACTGACGACAAAATTACCTTTTATATTGTTAATTTGAAATGTAAATGTATAACGCTGGTTATGATCAAGCCCACTTTGGGGGCATGAAGAGGACTCTCCATAGATGCTAGTGACGCAGTATAAGTGGTGCTTTTCATATAGGCCATTAATATTTAAATCAACCAGACGATAAAACAATCACAAGCATTTCTTTCTATTTTATATACGGTCTGCTTTATCCTTGACATATTCCTGCTAAATTAACAGCTGACACCTTCAGGCTGTTTCTGAAAAAATTAAACCCTTTTCATAAAAAAAAAAGAGTAAAAACCAAAACCTGTTACATCAATCTGTAGCCCTCTCCGCCCTCTACATGCCGCTCTCATCCAGTCATGACAGGGAAAGACTGACACACAAAAGCTTAAAAACTCTCTCCCTCTGGAGATTTTGATAGGATGAATGTGCTGCTAGGCCGTTTTCCCGTTCTCACGTCAAAAACCGTGGCAAATTTAGACCGAACACCTTTATCCATCCCTCCTTATTCATATTTATGAGAAGTGACTGACAAACTCATTGTGTGGTAATTACAGTGTGGTGAACCTTCATTGTTTTTACATTGGTAGAGACTGAGACATGCTGTGCTTTGGCTTGCTGCACTAATGCAAACCTCTTCCATGTAGATATTATTAGTCACTGTTTGCTTAGCAACCACAACACATGTCTGACATTTGTGTACAACGAAAAGGTTTTTTGCCCAGATTGAATTTTATTTTGGCTGCATGAGTTTTTT